CCGAGGAAGAAAATTTTTCTTTCTGAGTGTAAGACTTTACGTGGCTTCTAAAAGGAAGAGTCTATTCAGATAACATTGTAGTGTGACCTGAAATGGGCATAGAAGAATCTTTCCAACCATGGTGAGACATTCCTATAAAGAATCCTATTGTACCCTTAAAAGAATGGAATGGAAACATATTACTAAACCTGACCATTATTGGAAAGTATAAGAGGTGACCTTTTAACTACAATAAGCATCTGAGTTTGTCTTTTTAATTTATGACTATATATTTGAATTCAAATAATAATTATGTTATTTCCTTTCTATGGTGGATACAGTAGTTATTTTTTCCTAAAATCAGACATAAGAAGAAAAGCTTTTTTTTTTTTCTGTTATGAAGTTACTACATGGGCTAGTGATCCCCAAATCCTTTTTTAGGGGGGAATCCATCAGGTCAAAGACTTAAAAATATACTAGAAACGATTTCCCTAATTTGCTCTGGTTGTCCCGTGAGTATACGGTAGAACTCACTTGTGCTACACGACATGAAAACTCAAATGTGTGCATGGCTGGGTGTGGTGGTACATGCCTGTAATCCAGCACTTGAGAGGCTGAAGCGGGAGAATCATGAGTTTGAGGCCAGCCTGTAAGACTCCATCTTGAAAATAAATATCAAAATCAGAATTGATTGAATGCAGCAGACATGGGACCCCCAAAGTCCTCTATTAAGGGATATACTTAAAGCCTTCAAAAATCATAAAACAACACCATGCTTCTGTTACAAATACAGTTATTTTCCACAAAACTATGTCATTCATGCCAGTATATACTAGGCTTATTACTGTTTTATTATTTTATGTATTTTAATTTTATTTTAAGTTAACCAATAATAAAATTGACTTTTGGGTGCATACTTCCAAATATATATAGTTTAAATATATACTTAAATATTATATATAGTTATATAGAGATATAGCTATAGATATATACTCATATTGCCACCACAGAAATCTTGGTATGGAGCCTCTCCATCACCATAAGAAACCCATGCAGCTTTCTTTCAATCACCCCTTTCACACCTGGCAACCTTGGACCTGTTCTCCATCACTGTCATTTTATCTTTTGAAGACTGATACTGTGTAAGCTTTCTTCCACTAGAATAAATAGTCATGATAACTAAACTTCACAGAGAAAAGATTAATTTTGAATAATCATTTCAGAGGTTTCATTCACTATCAGGCAGTCTAATAGCTTTGAGCCTGTGGTAAGGTTGTGCATTGTGGTGGGGAGTGAGTGATGGAGTAAGGTTGTTTATGTCCTGGCCAGGCAGCAAAATAGAGGATAAGAAGGAAGCCACAGTCTCACTCTCTGAAGTTTCCACCAGCCTTCAATAGTCCCATAGCCAAAAACCAAGCTTTTGAAATTGGACCACACTTTAGCAGTCATATGAATCAAATCTGAACTACAAAGTCAAATCAATGAAATCCTTTAATATGTAAAATTTGAGATTGGCTTTTTTCAAGCAACATAAAACCTTTGAGATCCAAGCAATGTGTTTGGTCCTTTCTCATCACTGGCTAGTACTTCAATCCCTGAATGGATGCATCACAGTTCATTCAACAGCTTAAAAAGCGTTTGTGACACCTAGGGCTAAGATTGGTGAGTCAGACAGTAAATGTATGATGAACTTCATGAGAAACTGCCAATCTCTTTTTCAGAGTGATTGTAGCAGTTTATATCCTCACCAGCAATGTTTACAAGTGCCTTTTCAAATTTTTGTCCATTCTTTAAATTTGTTGTTTAATTTCTTTATTGTATGTGCATGAGTGTTTTTGCCTGCATATATATGTGTGTGTGTGTGTGTGTGTGTGTGTGTGTGTGTGTGCACCTGTGTTGTGCAATGCCCACAGAGGTCAGAAGAGGGGGTCAGATCCCCTGGAACTGGGGTTTTGGATAGTTGTTAACTGTCATTGGGTGTTGGGAACCCAATGCAGGTCCTCTGCAAGAGCAGCCACTGCTCTTAATCACTGAGCCATCTCCAGCCCCTGCCATTTTTAGTTTAAACTGTTAGAAGTATGTACCACCACAGCTCAAGTTACCATTTTTCACTGGATCACAATATCACATCCAAGAACGAATTGCCCAGGCTTTCTGAAGATTTCATTCTGTGTTTTCCTTTTTAAAATTATAGTCATACTTTTTACAATTTTTTATTGTAACCCATTTTTAATTACATTTAAAGCATGAATTACTTCAAGATTTTTTTATTCTGAAGAGATCCATTTTTAAATTTTTAAATATATTTTATTATTTTTATTCTACATGTATGAGTGTATTGCCTGCATGTATGTGAGTGCACCCATGTCGTGTAATGCTGTGGAGGTCAGAAGAGGGTTTTGGATTCCCCTGTAACCAGAGTTAAGGACGGTTCATACAAACCATGTTGGTGCTGGGAATCAAACCTGGATCCTCTGCAAGAGCAGTCAGTGCTCTTAACCACTGAGCCGTTTGAAGAGATACTTTTAAAAACCTTTAAGATTTTTACTTTTTATTTTTCTGTCTTCTGTGTGTGTGCATGTGTGTGTGTGTAAATAAGTGCAATGCTTGCAGGGTCCAGAAGAAGGCTCTGAATTCCATGAAGCTGGAGTTACAATAGGCTGTGACCCACCTGACATGGGTTCTGGGAACTGAACCCAGGTCCTCTGCAAGAAAAGTATGATGTCACTCTTAACCATTGGGCTGTTTCTCCAACCTCTCAAACATTTGTTTTTTGTTTTATTTTCCATAACAAACCAACGTTAGTTTATTAAGCAACACAGAAAGACGAAGCTCTCATTCATTTGTCCTCCTATCAGTTCAATACTTAAGGCAGACCATTTCAGCATTTTCATACTTTCTCTTTAATATGGATATGTCAGAATTTAAAAAATTATTTTGGGTGTGTATGTGTTCATGTGTGTGGAGAACAGAAGTCAACTTCAGGCGTTTTTCCTCAGGAGCCATTCATTCACCTTATTTTTTGAGACAGTCTTCCATTGGTCTGGGGCTCACTGATAAGGCTAGGCTGGCTGGCCAAGGAGACCCACCTGTCTCCACCTCCCCCAGCGCTAGAATTACAACCTCTCAACACACACATAGCTTTCTATGTAGGTTCTGGGGATAGCACTCAGGTTCTCATTCTTGAGTAGCAAGCACTTTGCCAACTGAGTGATCTCCCCAGCCCAGATATAACAGATTTTTACCAAGTTAAGCTATCTTGACCAGTACAGAGTACCCAGCATCAAGAAGATAGGAAAGAACACAACCTCTCCCGTTTCTATTACACCCTCACTTTTGTGTATTCACTAACTTGGCCAATGAATATGTGGGTGTTTTTTGTGCCTCTGACCTGCTGTTCTTTGACAGCTAAGCTCGGAGTAGGGAGAAGTGAGGAAGGCAGCCACAAAGATGGCACACAGAGGCCTGAGGGCTGGAAAAAAGATCCTCTGTCTATTCTCTCCTGCCTATACCCTAGAGAAGCCAGCTGACAGACTAGAGATTAGGTACAAAGGAGCATGCCACAGGGATTTCCATTCTATAGGCTCCTTGTAACTCCTCAAGACTGCAGAGGACAATCATTTTGTAAGCAAAATAGTGAGACTGGAAGACCCATTCAGCTTGGGCTTACTCATGATGTGTAGTGTGTCTCTCAGGGAGAAATGTCATAGCTCTCAAACTCACCCAGTTCTTCAAGAACCAACTCCCCAGGAACAAGGTTCCTCTTGGTGATGTTATGGCTGCCAAGACAGAAAGATTTTGGTTATATGGCATCAGAAGCCTTCCCTCTAATTCTGCAAGTCCTTCCTCACCACTGTGCTTCTGAAAGCCTCGTATTTCAAGGATCCAATCTGTTTCCCCAGCTCAGGAATTCTAGAGGCAGGAGCACTTTGGTATCCCCGTAGAGAGCTGTGTGTGGTAGCTTTCAATGTCACTCACATGTCCTGTTCCCAAGGACTCCCTATGTGGGCATAAGCTACAGAACCATCCTTGTAATCATTCAACCTGCCTTGGTCAGCCCAGGTCCGTGTTCTCCTTGGGACTGTCCTCTTGTGATGCTGGGAGAACTCAGGACAGTTCATACCAGTGAGAAATCACATCCCTGAGGCTGTTCATGGTCCACCGGCATCATTGAAGCTTAGGACCTGGAACCATTGAGGTGTCAGTCTCCGTCATGCTGCCTGCATTGCCATGATGTCAACTCCAGCCAGCAAGGACGAGCATGAGCCGCCCAGCTTGCAGCCATAGAGCCCAAAACTGAGGTTCTTTTGTTGTTGTCGTTGAAGGCTGTCTAATTGTTCAACAGTATTTTTGAAAAAATTGCCCTTCTATAAATTGCTTGTGTACCTTTATCAAAAATCAGTTGGCAGGTAGGCATAATGGTGCACAACCATAATCTTAAAGAGAAAAACAGTACATGTGTGAGGCCAGGCTGGGCCTCATAAGGACACTGTATCTCAAAAAGAAAATCCACCTGCAGTCGTTAACATCTATCTGGATAAGTACTGTTAGAAAAAAATTAGACAATAAAGAGTGTTGGTGAGGGTGTAGAGAAATTGGAACCATTTCTGTGTGGTAGTCACAAAGGTGAAATTATGTAAACACTAAGGAAAACAGTGGTTCCCTCAAAAAATAAAAATAGAGTGTCACTGTGTTCTAGCAATTTTCTGGATCTATAGCTAAGATAATTGAAAGCAGACAATTGAACAGATCATGTACACCCATCTTCACATAGACTCTGGAATATTAGACTAAAAACAGCCTTGAAAAAAGTCAGTTTAAGCACTCAGAATATTTTAAAGTGCACATTACAAAGACTGTATAGTCACAAATTTCCATTAGAATTGGACGTGTGGCCCAGTGACTGCACTAGATCTTGTTATTTAGTATGGGGCAAAAGTCCCAGAAACAGTAGAATGACAAAATGAGTAAAGACCTGAAAATTCTAACCAGAATTTTTTTTTTATCTGTTTCTTCCCCAGATTGTCTTGACGCTGGCCTAATGAAGCGCTACTTTTGACCTGGTGACTCTGATCCTGATGAGATTAATGACAAGGTCGTTGGAAGAACATTTCAAACAACTCTCATGTTCAGAGTACTTAGAAGTAACCCAGTTTTCCAGGGATATGTTCCTTTTCTTCTATAGAAGTATTAAAATAAAAAAAAAATGCTGCATGTAACTTTGTGGGCAAGGATTCATGGTTCTACTGGATCTCCACAGAACCACCCTGTGGCTTGGGTAAAGTCACTTTTCTATTCACTCCCTTTTGGCCTATCTGTAGGTAGGGGATTGAAATGGGTGTTTCTGTTCCTGTCTTTTCCAGGTCTATTAGAAAATTGATTAAGAAAAACTATCCATTAAAATTCATACTGAACAGATAGAGAAAATGTTCACAATAACTACATAAAATTCTCAAGTATGGTTGTTTTCTTTTGGGAAATTATCACCATTATTGTGTCTTGTTTCACAGCCTTTTGACTGCCTTACTCCAAGGTAGAATATTTTTAAGACCAAAAGCTTGCCAAATACAAAGCAGTGAAAATAACTATTTGACGATAGAGTCCCATGTGCCTCAGAGGGAGTGAGGCCTTTATGTTCTCAAGATTATAGGGAGGAAAGTAATTAACAAGCAGGGTTTCAAAAATGTGGAGATCCTTTGTATTTATAGTCAAGCCAGGAGAGCAATTCAGACCAGTTTCTGACAATTGCGGGGTCTGGTGCAGCAACACAAAGGAGGCACTTCATTGAGCAATCAAGCTAACAAACTATCAGAAGAAACATTATTTATCTTGACAAATGCACCTTAATTACACTAAATCTTTTAAAACAGGTTTAAATGTCTGTACTTCCTATGAAACTCCAAAATGTCAGGATTGAGTCTAACTATAGCTACACATGTGGATATTCTGAGCTGGTGATCCGGGGATGTGTAATAGAACAAAACACATATATTACATTAAATTTATGTGGCTTATTTACACTAAATTAGGTGCTTCATTTCCTCAAAATCACTAGTCAGATAATCACTATGATCAAAATTTGCATGTAATTGATGCACTACAACAGAATTGATGCTTGGTATATCTTGTCCTACATACATACATATTTAATAATAGTGTGAATCACTACACGTTATGAGGTGTTTCTCAGATGTCTTTTACAATTGTGGTAGATTCCATGAAAATGTGAAATACTTGTGGTATCAGAATTAGAATAGAAAAGAAACAAGAAAATGAATTTTAGTAGGCAATATTTTAATTAGGTCAGAATTGATTCATACCATCCAAAGGCTTTGCCAGGCCAATGAAATTGTTCTCTTTCCTAAGTGCCTCCTCCTCCCAAGTCTTTCCTCTAGTTGGGAGACAGTCTATCTTGGCATTGACTCATCTCCTTCCATGTAGGTGCCTTATGCTTTGAGAACACAGGGCAACAGATGTGGATAGTCCCTCCCCCCACCTTGGTGAATGGTGTTCCACACAGAAGTGGGTGTGAGGGTCTCTAGTGTACACTGTTCCAACAGTGAGCCTAGATCTGAGGGCCAAAGGCATTGTGGTCTATGGAAAAGCATGGCAGGTGTTTAAGGCATGAAATAGGGCAGGCAATGTTAGGGCTTAGGGCAAGAACCCTCCCTGAGGTCCAAGAGAAATATTGGGGAAGTTTGTAAACACATGAAATATATGCATGAATTATGCCAATTCTTTGTTCAAATGGATTCTATCCATTTTAGGTGGCGCTTTAATTCTTATAACTTATAGTGTGTAGCTTAATAAATTACAACTCCATAGCATTACATTCATGTGTTTTAAAAGTAGGCTCTATGGAGCTGGAGAGAGGGCTCAGTGGTTACAAGAACGGACTGCTCTTGCAGAGGACTCAGGTTCGTTTCCCGGCACCCACATGGTGGCTAGGAACCATCCTTAACTCCATTTCTAGGGGAATCTGAAGCCCTCTTCTGACCTCCGCAGCATTGCACGACATGGGTGCACTCACATACATTCAGGCAATACACTCATACACATAAAACAGAAATAATAAATAAAATATTAAAAAATAAAAGTAGAATCTGGGGAACTGAGAGTTGGCTCAGTGGTTAAAAGCACTGTTCTTGCAGAGGACCAGGGTTCGATTCCCAGCACCCAGGCAGCGGCTAAAAGATCCTCTGTAACTCCAGTTCCAGGGGATCTGATGCTTTCTTCTGACCTCCAAGAGCACTCCATGATACATGGAGGCAAAACACTCATGCATATAATAAAAATAAATAAATTTTTAAAAAGTAAGATCTGCATAAGAACGATGAAGGACAATGAATCTGGGTCCTATTCATTAGTAAACTGCCACGTTGTTGAAAGCATTGCTAGGAGACACATTTGAAAGATCCCTGTAGATTTGTGTTTTGGATGCTTGTTCCCTGGAGGGCTGCACTGTTTTAGGAAGCTGTGAGATCTTTAGGAAGTGGGTCCTAGATGGCACAAGTAGGCCGCTTGGGGAATGGAATTTGAAAGTCATACCTGGGCCCAGTTTTGGCCACTCTCTTCTTCCTGGTTGAATGTCATGTGATCAGCTCTACCATACTCTCCTACCGCTGTTGCCGAACTCCTCCACCATGCCCTATCTACTATAATGGGCTGAAAGCTCAGAAACCATGAGCTGAAGTAAAAATTCCCTTTCTATCAGGTATTTTGGTCAGAGTGGCACAAACTAACATATTTATGATTAATTAGGTAGCTTGGCTGGGCGTGGTGGCACAAGCCCTTAGTCCCAGCACTTGGGAGGCAGAGGCAGGTGGATCACTGTGTGTTCAAGGCCAGCCTAGTCTACATAGTTCCAGGTCAGCTGGGGAATACCTGGAACCTAGTGAGACCCTGTTTCAAAAATACCTAAATAAATAAATAAATAATAAATAAATAAATAAATGGGTAATTCAACAATGTCCTAAAAAGTTAGCCAAGGGATCCTACTGTGATGGTGAGTGCTAATTGTCAACTTGACAGAAGCTGGGAGAGGGGCCTCTGGGCATGCCTGTGGGGCATTAGCTTGATTGCATTAACTGAGGCAGGAAGGTCCACCCTGGCTAGGATCCTAGACTGTGTAGTGGAGAAACAGAGCTAAGCAGCATGCATACATCCATTCATTCCTCTTTCCTTACCGTAGACAAAATGTGACCAGCTGCTTCAAGCTCCTCCTGCCTTAACACCCCCATCATGATGCACCTTGAACTGTGAACTGAAATAAACCCCCTTTCCCTAAGATGCTTTTGTCAGAGTATTTTATTACAGCAACAGAAAAACTAAGATACCTACCACACTGAAATGACTTAAACACCCAAAGAACCACTTAGCCACAGCTTATAGCTATATTTTTGATGGTTTTGCTTCAAGTTGTATCCTGTCAGTAATGATGATATTTGGTGAGCTGGAGGTGAACTCGGGAGAGTTTAGAATGCATGTTCTAACTCCTTGATGGGCTTTCTGCAGGGTGGACATGTTCTGGCTTTTTGTTCCACAGTTTACTTCTCTAATAAGGCACTTTTCTCACAATCTTATACTTCTCAGGTTTCTAACTAATGATATAAATGCCACGAGACCAAAACTGTGATTTCCTAGGACAAAAGTAAATACTGTGGAGGATCTTGTATCCATAACCCTCTGGAAATAGGACATTTAGTTTTTCATATCAAAATTATTAGACAATATGTATTTCAATAGATGTATATTTGATTTCTTAATGTATTTGAAATTGCCATTTGTCAAAATGCAAATGACTTCTTTCAAACATAATAAAAGCCTTTCTAGTTATAACACAAACAAAAAAATAAGTTTATGAATTACTAGCCCAGTCAGAAATAGCATATTTAATCAAACTGAAATTCAATGGTTTTTAGATCAATTGGTTTCTTTATCCAATTCATTTTTCCGGTTCTATTGGCAAAGGCCTGGTACCTGCCCTCCAGTTCAGCTACTTCAATCGAAGAGATGGAAGAGGTAGCCATAGTTTTCCCATGATGCTATCTACTGAAGTGCTCTATAAATGACAAGGGTGCCTCCTGAAATGTTCCTGGAGAATTTTACTTAGTTATACTTGCTTAGGGGGTGGCTGGAGAGATGGCTCAGAGTACTTGCTGCTTTTGCATAGGACCTAAGTTCAGTTCCAGCACCCATATCCAGTGTCTCACAACAGCCTGTAACTTCCGTTCTAGGGGATCCAACAACTTCTTCTGGTCTCCACAGACACCTGCACACATGTGCAGGTGCACGCACACACATAAATAGATGAACAGATAAATAAATCTTTTTAATTGTTTATCCTCATTGTATTAGTTCTTTGAGAATTTCATGCAGTATACTTTGCTCATATTCCCTGTCCTCCCAACTATCAGGTCCACTCCCTTCCCTACCCACCCATCTTCTATCCTCTTTTAATTAAACCCATCAAGTCCAATGTGTATTTTCCATATGCTCTTGGGTGTGGAGTCATCCACTGGGGCATGGTCTACCTACCAGGGGCCACAACCTTAAAGGAAACTGACTCTTCCTCTCCCAGAAGCTATCAATTGCCAAAATCTTCTCTACCAGAGGTGGTACATCATGTCCACCTCCCCTCTCCATGCTGGGATTCTGTCTGACTTGAGCTTGTGCAGGTCTTGCATATGCTGTCATAATCACTATATGTTGATATGTACAAGTGCCCTGTTGTGTTTTGAAAACAGTTTCATTGTAGTCATCTGCTGCCTCTAGCTCCTATAATATTTCTGCCTCCTTTCCTGATCACTGAGCATTGTGGAGAGGCGTGTGAGATAGATGTCCCCTTTAGGGCTGAGCACTCTGTAGTCTCTTATTCTTAATACCATTCACAATAGTCTCAAAAAAATCTTATGGAAGAACTTGAGGGGGGAAATGGGGGCTACTTTAGCTGGGGAAGGAAGGAGGAAAGCTATATAAGGGGAGAGACAGGAGAGAAAAGTAATGCTTAGGTGGTGTGAAAAACCAGAGGGAAATGTATAAGTTCAAAAGCCTACTGAAAAAAAGTGTATGTGTGTGTTTGTGTGTAGCCAGGGTGGTCCAAGCAACTCTCAAAATTATATAGGCTATTGCAAAAGCCCTTGATTGCCTCCAAATGCTTGAAGGTAAGACCCTATTGCTGAAGACAGTACATAACAT